TCATCCTATGGGTCTACCTTACAATATGAAGCACCTTGAGACGACTGTTGTTGTGATTTGGCGCTGTATGAATTGAATTGAATTGAATTGAATTGAATTGAATTGAATTGAATTGAATTGAATTGAATTGAATTGAATTGAATTGAATTGCAGCTCAGGCTTTGTACATGCAAATAAATGATACTCACAGCTGACCACATGGAAAGTAGATGCTGTTTATCAGATCCCATTTATACTTCTCTGGTCTCCCCCAATGTGTCTGCACTCCAATCCAAAAAATGCAATCACTATGCCAGCCAAACCAATGGAGAAACTGCTCAGCAGAAGCTCCCTGACCCCCTGAAGGTGTGCTGAGACGAAGTCCGGAATGGTCAGGCCCCACCATATCTTAAAGACCTCATTATAACATATTATCCCAAAATAGCACACCAGGGTCAGAGTGCAGGCTTACTTTTCGTTCTTTCTCCTTTGGTCACCTCATTTTCTTCTTTCTTAAAGGGCCATTCCAGCATATTGTGTTTACTCAGGGTACTCATAAGTATTAGATTAAACAAAAGGCTATGACATTTAAAGCAACACACACAGAAATATCAGAAGTTTTATCTTTCACAGGTTTTCAGCTAAATACATGGAAACAAATTAAGTGTTTTTGCCATAGACTGCCTAATAACAAAGTGCCTAAAGATACCATTTAAAATGGGCTTTTTGCAAAGTTGTCCCTTGTGTGTAGACACAGCACTGTTTCATTTCTTGAGTTTGCTGTCTTTTTTATGCTTGAATGTTTCTCAGGTCAGCATTAAGTGGTTCAACAAACAGATAAGTTTGTTGAAAGAGCGAAAGGTCCAAAGAAAAACTTTGAAAGACCTTCATAAAGCCTGGAGAAGTTTCTCAGAAACACTTTAAAAAAACCAACAAGAAAGTCGTGCTCCTTGGAAGCAAATTAAAAAGAAATGCACAACACTTTAAGATTTTTTTTCTGGAGCCCTCAGTTGATTAAAAACAAGGAAAATTAGGATTAGTAGCTAAAGTGACAAGAACAGCAACTGCAAAGCACTCCACTACATAGCCCTCAAATGAATTTTACCTTTAGTATGTTGTATATATATATATATATATATATACACACACACATACACACACACATACACACACATATATATTTATATAGTTTCTTAATAAAACCCACTCTTACTTTTTCATTTACAGATTCATTTACTTCTAACATTACTCAAATAGGCTATTTTTAGCTTAATTGTTATTGTACTGAAGATTAATTTGAGGGATCAGGTGGGACGCACTGACTGATTGTTTTTTTGTTTTTGTTTTTTTCCTGCTTGATTATGGTCATATTATTTCTATCCATTTGACCCCTTTTAACTTTCTATTGTGACTTGTAGGAATAAACTGTGTTTATAACAAACAGAAGATAGCAGCTTTGTATTATGTGGTAAGAAATGTATTATGTTCATTGTGTCAAGGCTATGCTGCAAGGACTGGTTGCCTGTGATCTTTGCTTGGGTTTCTATATAGCAGTTGCAGTGTCTGGATATTCTAACACTAAACACTTTGTTTTCAAGATTTTCCACAAGGTGCGATGCTCAATTGACAGAGATAGAAGTATTGTATTGTACTGAATCTTTATTTTGAACATGTTAAAATAGTATAACAACAACAAAAGAGGGAAAAAGACAAAGCAAACAAAAGGAAAACAAAGCAATAATAATTATAACTTACATGTTCAAAAAGGAGAAGGAAGAAGCATCAGCTTATTTAATCCCACCACATATCCACTATTTATTAACTAACAGTCTGCACTTTTTATTTTCTGTCCATCAGAAGTCTCTAGCTATAGGTGAAATCACATTAATTGTTCTATTTATTTCCTCTAATGTGAAGCAGCCTACCTCCAGTGGGCCATAGCAAGTGTGCAACCCACAAACATCCAGCCTAGTATGCTAAGCAGTAGCCCCAGGATCTGACCCGGTCTACTTCACATCCCTTTCATTTGGTAAATATATGCAATACACCAGCAATGATAAGAATGCAATTTATACCACATATTAAAATCTTGAAGCATCTGACTGCTTGGTCATCACATGCTCTGAAGTTTTTTTATACCTAATAATTGATATTTGTTCAAATATAAGAGTTTTTGACATATGGTGCAATCTCACTCCCTAAAGTGCCTGACATGGAGGTTTGTGCCCTGCTTCTATGGCTGTTCCTGCCACTCCTCTCTTCTGACAGACTTGATAGGCTAGACTTTGAAGAGAGGCCAGACTGTGACCCAGATCCTGATCTTGATCCTAAATCTGTCTTCAGCTCAAACCTTTCAGACCTTTCTGACTGGGTGGAACGCCCTGACTTGGTCGTGCGTCTGGATCTTGAGGCAATGCTAGATAAATCTGAGCCCTCCGACCTTGATAATAGCTCAGAAATAGAGGACAGTTTGGTCTTGGATGTGATCTCCGACACTGTGGACAGAGATGTGGTGGACTTGTTTTGCAATGGGTCTGGCAATCCCTTGACAACCACCCTAAGGAAGGAGATGCACATTATTGTCAAACATGACAGTTACATGTTCCACTAAGCAAGACGTAATAAAAAAAAAAAAACACACATGTTTTTAATTATTATTTATTATTATTATTTGCCTTCTTTCAAGTCATGCACATTTACTTTCGATTATTCATCCTGGCTCTTCATGGCACTTCTACTACTTTTGGTCATTTAGGCTTCTGCCTCGGGGTTTTGGCATACCTGCTCATTATTTTAAATGGCATGTCCTTTTTCTGTCTTCATCATTCTTCTGTTTTCAGTGCTCTAAACATTTAGCACAACTCTTCAGGTTTTGGGGGTACCAGCATTGTTAATCGTTAGCGGGAGTAGTCCTGAGTTTCTGATGTTTCCTGTCCTTCACAGGAATGATTCAAGCATGGTTCTTATAAGGTCACGTGGATCTCTGTATTATCTGCTATTTTAGCAGCATCTCCTTGGCCTCTATACAGTAACTCTTTCCATTAACATCTTGGAAAAGTCCTGCATTTAGAATTGGTAATAGCTCTATCTCTGCTGTTTCATTTCAAAGATCTTCACTAAATAGGTTGGTAGGTGCTGCTCTATCAGCCTTACAAGCCTTTCTTTCCACCCTCAGTCGTGTAGCGCCAAACACATCAAAGTTGCCTAGGAGGCTTAATGTTGTAAGGTAAGTCCTTATAATTCAAAACAGCTTTCCTTCCACTCATCTCCAAATCATTTGCACATCTTCTGCCTTACTTTTCTAAGTCACCAAGTCTAAATTCAGTCGGCATCGAGCTGGTGGTGGTATAAAAGTCTTACTCTTACTCCCACTCCTAACTCTTTGCCTCATTATGTTCTGTGTGCTCTCTACTGGCCTACAGCAGCACAAGCCTTAATGCAGCGTCTTCTCTCCACTGTTCCTTGCAACTCTCAGCC